TAACACGCCGTCGCAGCGGCTTCCGATGCCTTACAGTCGCCGAAAGACAATGTAGAAGAAGGATACGCAGACAGGTTGCCCTGCGTTGCCTGTGAAGCCGCTTGCGCATTTGATGCATCACTTACATAATCCGGGGTAATTATTAACTGTCATAAATTTCAATGCAGCTGTTTGATCAACGTAAAAGAGGAAACGAAAAAATAGGAAGTTATGCATAGCAGTGTTATTATATGTGCCAGTTGGCAGGCCGCTAAAAACTAATTTTGAGAAAGTTTACCGTCGAGATTCTCCTTGCGATAGTTTTCAAAATTCCTTGCTCTAAAGTTAAAAATTAAACAGCAAATACATGTCAGTTTTGCGTAATTCCTTCAACTTTGTCTATCATATCTACCATATGTTTGCATAACAGAATCCAGTGAAAGTCTCGTTCTCACTATTTAGAATTTTTTTTCCAAGTCAGCCAGAAAATGATATTCAGCTGTGTCGAAATCGAACAGCCAGATCCAGTCGTAATCCTTTTGCACTTCATGTATTGACCGCATATTCAAAATGAGCTTTTTTCATCCTCAATGGCACTCATGAATAGACAAGGAACTCTTGTTGATAAAAATTATTTTGAGTCATTCTAGAATTGAAAGGAAAAATAGAGCAAAGGTGAAGGGAGAAAGTAGCACTTTTGGCTTGAGGCGGATGTCAGAATCTAAGAGAAATAAGAAGAGGTCAAGCCTCTCCTTCACATAAGCTAGTGGTTCAAAAATGGGAAAAGAGAAATAGAATAACAAAAAAGCCGAATCGACCTTTTAGGTGTGTGCTGCCGCGATTCAGCTACGTCAACTGCGGATATCCGATTCGACGAACAAATACAAACCACGTCGATATTATTTCGGCAGTATCAACAATGACTATACGCTTCACTGAACCATTTGCTGGATGTGTGCTTGTGTTTGTTCTGTACTGACAGAAGTGGGGACGAGTTCTTCCCATCAAGCATTGAGCACATCTCCATGAGCGGATAATCGGTCATTACAAAAGATTAACGTGGCAATTTGCTGGGTTGCAAAAATAACATTCCTTACGTTACTCTTCCAACACTGTGATGTACACCGTAAGATGCATCTCGAAACGCTGATTGTAAATCTGTGCCCGGTGTCTGCGAAACGATCTTCTGAAGGACGTTATGAAATTTTTCGTAGAAATTTGCGTACTTTTGGGTAGTTAGAACCACCAATTTGTTATAGGTTACGGTTTGAAGCTATTGAAGAGAATTTTAAAAGGAATACTGCTGTATTATACCTATCCAAATCATGTTCAGCATCTGAAAAGGGAAAAGATTTTTTATTGGTGATTTTGACTCTCCACAGTTGCTCAATTTATTTATGAAAAAACATTTATAAATCCATCCAAGTTATCATTTCGCAGATATGGAAGACAACATTTGAGTCAGCATTAAGAGAAGCAATGTTTGATATACAAGTCATTACGAATGGCCACAATCACCAAGTATCTTCCCTTGTAAGCAAAGCAAGCTCTACAAGAGGCTTTCAAAAGTTTGCATCAAGCTCGATCTGCATTTGAAAGGCCGAAAAATTGAAAAAAAAAAAACGTTTCTGGGTCTAGAAAATCCTGCAAGTCTCCCCCTGCTTATGCATAAAGTTCCCATAACAGAAAGTCATACATGCAATTGCTGTATTCTTGCATTGGCTAGAAGTCGAGGAAACAAAAATTAGTAATTCTTTGGGAAAGCAAAGCTTGGCTGCTCTCACATTGAATCTGTATTAGAAACCTTTAGAATTATGACCGCAAAAATTTTTCAGCCATTTACAAGCTTTACTTTTCGAGATATATCAACTTAGCGTATAAAAAATTCAGACAACGCGATTTTTTCGTAGTTTTCGCCTATTTTTATTTTTGGATTTCTAGTCTTGGAAAAAATGCAGCAACTGCATATGATTGTCGATGTGAAGAACATATGCAAGGAAAAGTCAGAGGCTCTTAGGACTTCCCCAGGAGGAGGACCAATTTTTTGGGCAGTTAGAAAATTTCGCATTTTGTTACAAACTTGGGGTACATCAAATCTTCTGTGATTTTTCAAAAGCCATTTTGTAATGCTTGCTTTGCTCTATCGAATAGATATTTTTTGTTGAAATTGAAAATTAGAAGTGAGCAGATTTCCGCCAACCAAACAATTATGGATCAACCTCATAAATTGCCCTTGTAACGCATGACAGTTGTGGTATCTTACTTTTCAGAACTTTTGAGAAGCACTTTGTTTCATATTTGTTTTCAGCGACATTTTTTCTTGAAGACATACGGTTTTTCAATTCTCCCTCAATAGGCAACATGTTTGCAGCTGTGTAGTGCAGTTCTGTACTTGCACATTGATCTCCTACAACAGATTTTGAAAACACGTCTTTTGAAAATGCTAGGAGTGGATCTTTTTTTTAATTAAGAAGGCACAGCAAAGCCTGAAAGCCAAGTTTTCGCCCAGGAGTTCTTAAAAAAGTGGAGTTGGATGTAAAGTGTATGAATGGTGTGCGCAGGGTAGAGGACTATATGTCGCCGAAAAAGGGCGGTCCCTGCGGTCATTTGCGACAAATACGCATCCTTGTACATGCGCGGACATGCGTTCCTGCAGGGAATCCGCGCGGGACTCTTCCAAATTCGGCGACATATAGTCCTCCACCCGTGTGCGCACAACAAACTTGATATTTTTAGCAATTTGTACGATTATAAAGGGTCAAATTAGAGATATCTGAACTATCCAAAGACTGATTTCCTCGCACAAATGTCCCGTCGCATTCTTGACTTAGAAATTTCACAAACTCAAGGCGCCGTTTTACTATGTGATTACTCGTCTGCACACTCGCTACTGGATAAAAACAAGCTGAGGAAGTCAAACTGCTGTAAGACACTAGCCATTCAAGGACATGATTCAGATTTTGAAAAATTTTGTTACCTGTTAGTCATAGTAGAGATCCAAAACTGCCTCCCACAAAACGATGTGCCCTATACGGCCCTCCCCAACAAAGGCAACTACCGTCAAGCTCCTATCAGGCCAATCGCCGGAGTCATGCTTAACTTCGTCTTTTTCACGGCGTTCATAAGCCATCTAGCTAGATGATGGATTTTGCTGAAAAGCTTGTGAAAGGGATTGAGAAATCTTCCTATATGTCGCTCAAGAAGGCCTTATAGACATGACTTTAAGAGCTATTATAACTTGCATTGAATGCTTCTCAGATAAAGATCTGTCCTGGATATGCCACACAAACGGAAACAACTGAGGGACGTTAGAGGCAGTTTTTTGTTACATAGCATCTAAGAGAAACACGCCGTGCTAGTGACTCACTGACTCATCGTAAGGGTATTTGAAAACCTAACTGATACCTAGGAATTCTGTAATCTACACCATTGCAAAGCTACTAAATTATGTAGGAGATGATGACCCTCAGAACGTTTTCCCTGGTTCTTCCTATAAAAGACCGCCCTACCTAATACCCGATAGTCATATGCTCGGTTAGAAAGTATTGGCATAGTTGCAATCTTCTCGTTAATTGCTTGAGCATAATCCAAGATTGGTACAGAACTTTATCGCACAGAATAACAGACTAACGTTTCGGCGAACTCGCCTAGCGAGTTCGCCGAAACGTTAGTCTGTTATTCTGTGCGATAAAGTTCTGTACCAATCTTGGATTATGCTCAAGCAATTAACGAGAAGAAAGTATTGGGTCCGGAAAAAAACAGATCATTTCAAGGCCTTCTGTGAGACGGAAAATGATCATACCGGGGTTTGGTTTGGCTAACATAATAAGTTAGTTTCAGATAAGTACATAAGCCAGACCAGAAAAAAATTGAAGTTTTGTGAACTGCCCTCTCGAAATCCTGACTTAGAAAAGCCGCACGTGGATAACGCCTTGTCAAATCGATAATGGGACGACTTTGCTGTAAATTAATTTCTTTTATCGGTAAGGAGTTGTCTGTAACATTCTGCTTGAATTAGTCCCGAGCTCGAGCTTTGGAGAAGGGCTGCCACAAAAGTAAACTCTGTTTTAGGTTCTATAGTGCAGGCATCTCATAATCAGTTACCTCACTTTATCAATCCCGATAAAATAAGTTTGGAGAAGGCAGACCCGTGCGTATTCTTTGTAATCAGATAAAGTCGGTATGAGATATGAAACAGCCTATTTTGAGGCTACGAAGATCAACTGAAAAGTCTGCAAGCGGGCCACAACAAATCAGCGAACTATTTTTCCGGTGCGCGCTTGCTCAAAATTCGCATGGCCGCCTGCCCCCGGCGATTATCTGAGTAGGTAACAACTCAGACAATCGCCGGGGGCAGGCGGGCACCGGAAAAATAGATTGCTGATCTCTCGCACCCCGCTCGCGAATTTTTTGGAAAGCAATCAGGACTTTTCGGAAGACCGCTTGCTGAGTTCTCGATTCCTCAGAGATTCCGCAATATATCTGCAAAAGATAAGAGCGAAAAAAATTCAACAGGCGGTCTCTCAAAAATCCGCTGACTCAGCAAGCGGTCTTCCGAAAAAACCTGATTGCTTTGCAAAAAATCCGCGAGCGGGGTGCGAGAAATCAGCAATCTATTTTTCCGGTGCCCGCCTGCCCCCAGCGATTGTCTGAGAATATGTTTAGTAGAAGGTTGACAAATCTTAAGTAATTGCTTAGATGCTCCACCGTTGTACGAGTTCTGCGTTGCGTTTGAAAACATTTGAAGTATCTGACTTATAGAAGTGTAATGTTGTACAGAAATGGGATAGTGACCTTTGTCTCAGTGTATTAACAGGGCCGGGCGGAGCCGAATATGTAAGCTAATATGAATAAATCTTCATTATACTTTTGACAATTTCAAGATAACACAAGGATTTGAGCTCCAGTCTGGGAAAGTATGGACGTCGCCGTATGTGCAAAATCAGCAACACAAAATTATGTACAAATAGGGCAGTTGAAAATTGAGTGAAAAGTGAGAGGCGGGAAGGAGACTCAAAAGGTCATGGGCAGAAACCAAAAACGAACTTGAGCGTTGAGGCAGACAATCGGCAGCGACCTAGATTTCCACTTGTATATATTCTCTTCCTCGCTTTTTTTCCCTGCTCCCTCTGAATCTCTTCAAGCTCATCGAAGATCTCGGTAAGAGGTTGAAATGTGGGAGCTGGATGCCGAGACTGAGTGTACTGTAATCGTAGTATAGATTACTCAAAGTATGGTTTGTACGACAAAAAAACAGTGGTGGCTATACCTTGTATGGACCTTCAAGTTGTTCCACGTTTTCTGATAAGCTGACCGGTCCTGGAGGAAGTATATCTTCAACTCTAGCATAAATGTAATCATTTAGAGCAGAGTCAATCGTTTCAGGTCGCCGATACCTATAGTTTGTCAAGAACTTTTCACTCCTTGTCAGCGAAGAACTTACCTTGGGCGTGTTTGAAGCGGATTTGGATTTACCCCTATAGAAATCAGATACTCCGTTACCGAGCTGTTTACGGACACAGTATCCTGATCGATGCCTGAGTCAGGCTGCGACCGGGTTGATGCCGCTTCACGATGAGAAAGAAGAGAGTTTCGCAATCCCGAGTTTGAGGATGCTGATGAAGACATTGATGGGTTCTGAAAATAGCAAATCTTGCGCAGACTGCTTGACGATCGAGTAAAATTTCCAATTTCACATCAAATAGATTCTCTCGTTTAGAAAATCCATTTCTCTCTACAAGCAACGCACTTTGAAGAAAACTAAGGCTAATGCAGTGATGATGTAAAGTTTTTTTTGTAATTTTTCTATTACATGCATGCTCAAACGATTTTAAAGGAACACTGAAATTATTTGGATTTTTAGAATTGCAGAACTGTGACTTGTTTTCTTGCAGGATTCTAAATTTCGCACTTCAACTTCAGTTGTATTTGGTTTTTACCAGTGTATATGCAAGTTTACCAGCGCGTATACAAGTTAACCAGTTTATGCGCGAGTGTACCACTGCTCATTATTTGTCGTCAAAGTAAAAAGATATGGTTAAAGACTTTCGCACTGTTTTCCTTGCTATATGGCACCCGAAGCCGCAGTTCAGCAAGCTGACCCAGTAATTCTTACCAACTTGAAATGGAGGTAAAATATCTTACCGGTAGCGGGATATTGCTTGGCATTGCTGGTTTTGGCGAACAAGCCATACGAGCGATTCCACTGCTTTCTCTTCTCTCCTTGGCTCGGCTTTTGCTTATAGAATAGACCTAAATTGGCAAAGTCATTTGCAGACTCTTTCAAAAATATTGTGATTAATTTGAAGTAATATATACCGTATTTTACTTTACGAAAAATAGATAAACCCATTTTGAGCTCAATGTTGAAAAAGTTCTGCCCACTTGTTTGCGGGGGCTAACCACTTCCTTAGGCTTTGAGCGCTTATAGCCGAATAAGCAACATCCCAGCAAACAAATCATGAGCACAAACAAGACAGCCGTAGCTATAGCTCCAATCTTGAAGATATTTGACGAAAATGTCGAAGTGGCAGCATGCAAGGGATAATCTCCATTCTGAAGGATATTCTCTCTAGTGATGCAGCAGAATTTCTAGAAATTTTAGAGCTTACTGCTAGATACACTGTCGCTTTTGTCTGCTGCGTATCGCTACTTGAAGCAATTACATTGATCTGCTCTATGGTGTGATTCCGCCGTTTGTCTGGCCTGCTTCGCAAACTCAACTGAATAAAGAATTCATTTTTGAAATCAGGATTTCCTAAAATAAGAACTTACCAAACCGCTCTTTTCCTCAACCATCACAAGAGCATTATTTGGTTCAATACGGTATAACGGCACACCATGCACACCTCCATCCGCATCAACAGCTCGGACTTCTCCAATGATAGCCCCGATGTCAGCGTCAAGTGGGACCTGTAAGCAGAAATTTTGTAAGATCAAATTGCAAAAAAAGTCGATGATCTCACTTGAAATGTGTAGCTTGATTGTGAGAAGACAGGCGGATGTTCATCAACAGGTAGTACGAGAAACTCCAGTGATACAACCGCGGATCTTCCCTAAATGCTAGAATTGCAACAGACTGTTAGATAGCGTGGTTTTTTATAATTAAGCCACGATATATGGAGTGGCAAGTATTTTAAAGATTATTTTTATGTTTTTAAAGTAATCTGAAGTCTTTTTTTGTGACAAAATAATGGATTTTCTCATGACACTCCAAAAATAGGACTCTTAGGCAAACCATTATTTTGTCACAAAAAAGATTTCAGATTACTTTAAAAACATAGTAATCATCTTCGAGGTATTAATTACTACTATTATACACTCTAATTAAGCAAGCGCGGGCAATGATTTTTTTTTGAACAGAGGAGAGAACCGTTATTTTGGACGCAGGTGAACTACGTAGGGAGTAGACAGATATATTTCAATAGTTGACACACTGTAGCTAACCGTAAAATGCCTTAGTGAATACTTATGATTTATTTACCTTATTCACAAGATCGAGCATTATAGCATAATGAAGTAGAATTCTTACATTTTCGTCTGAAGCAAGGAGTGACATTTTATATGAAATCCTGGTCTCGTAGTCCAAGTCGCGCTTCAGGTGCACAACGCCACTGGCAGGATTTATAGAGAAAGTCTGAAATAAGTTGATTAAAGGAAAGTTCAGAAGCGTTAGAATTACATGACAGGGAGAAATCGTAAGGCTGCAGTTTTTGAGAAAATTATGCAAGCTTTTTAAGTGTAAAGCAGATTTTTTTTCATGTGAATTGTAGTCCCGATAATTGGCTTTACTTCAGATCTTTGAGAACATACTTGATCGTTATCCTTCAAATCATAACGCACTTTCATAGGAATCCCGAAGCGATTGGTAGCATGAGCAGTAAATACGATGCTGTCAATGCTGGTTGTTTCCAGAATAGGCACAACGTAAGCGGGAATCACAAAGAAAGGTGCTGAACCTGACCAGGTTTGCAGCTGAAGTGAAACGTGCACAGGCAGTATCGTTGATCTAAAATGGAGACAATTCAGCCAGGCTTCTCGTAAATTAAGTTATTAAAGAAAGCCTCGGCTCTGATCCATGGTCCCTCGCCTCAATAAACAAGGTCCACTTTCCATCGTTATGTCGCACAAGCTGCTCGTCATCCCATTGATTGAACATCAACGCCCCAGTGTCCGATCCAATGGAGAAGAAACGTAATCGTAATCGTCACCGGGAAGGATACGGTAACTGACGCGACCGTTTTCGCCGTCGTCTGCATCCGTAGCCACAAATCTCTTCAGCACTTCTCCACTGTTCAGCCCATCTCGGAGACTTATTTCTGAGCTTAAAGGGCTGAAGACGGGCGTGTTGTCATTGGTGTCCGTTACTCGAATAGTTACGGTGGCGGTGGAGTTTTGGCGGTAAGTAACTGGATGAGTGCCGACGTCGACCTAAGAATGAGGTGAATGATCCTACTCGAAGCCTAAAATCAAATGACTTACGATAAAGCTGTACTGATCTCTTGTTTCCCTATCCAGGGCAGCCCTTAAAGACATTCGACCAAAGTTATCAATGTCGAGCACTTCAGCAGCCTTTGAATCCAAGATACGGTAGAAGTACGGTTCATTGCCAATGGAAACATTGGCGAATGGGATGTGAGGTATCCAAGATTCAGAAACGAGGAAGCTAAATCGAGATATTATTGCAAACAAAATTTGAGACAAAGTATTTTTCAAACCGACAGAAAATCTAGATCTTACTCGTAAGCAGTGGCTGGAAACTGCGGACGCTGTTGAGCTTCGACTACAGTAGCTTTGACCCTAACCGGGATTGATGTCGACAGTGAAAGTAGCCCATGATCGCTTGCTGTTACGGTAAGTAGATATTCAGCATCAGAAGAGAGTGGAGATGTCAGAGTGAGTGTTCCTACAAGATCGTCACATTTCAAATTGTTATTTTGTGAAGTTCAAAATGGGTGAGCTTTTCATTCTGGCAAGCATAGATTTTGTTGAAAATCTAAGTTTATAGAACACGGAGTAAAGTTTTTCGAGAGCTGGTAATTCGTAGGTAAGCTAAGGGTTGGCTGAGTTGCAGCAAGTTTTTGATGCTTTTCAAGCTCACCATCATTGCTGTCCAAGTGGAACATTTCGTAGGATTCCAGCAGAGATTATGAAATTTTTCCGTTATCGCCAGAGTCCCGATCTAAAGCTATCAGTTTAGCAATCACTTCATCCGCGCCAGTCGACTGTGGAACCTAGAAGCGATTCTCTTTGATCGGAGCTGATTTTTGAGCTTTGATGAAGTAGCCTTTGAGCCAAAACTCCTTATACAGTGTTTAGAAGTAACACACTCGGGCCATAGTAAATTCTTTAGTGGTATCCATAAGTGCGATAGAGGGAGCCGGGCCCTTTCCAGGTGAAGGGGGTCTCTGCTACTCCCATCCTTGTAAGGTGAAGGGGGTAAGTGAGCCCTGAAGGCAAAATGCCTCAACTAGTTACATATCATTCGAAAGATGAGGTCATGTAGAATCGGCTTGATTCCGTCGACTTTTTTCTAGGTCTTCTGTGCCGCGAGATATGAGGCATTTTATGTACTTCATATATCAACTGATTTTGTGTCCTCACTTTCTGCTCTCCAAATGAGCGCTACGAGAAAGTCTACGGTCCTCTTTTGTTAACGAAGACTTGCTCTGTAACATATATGGATAACCAGCTGTGATTACGACGGTCTAGGTCGAATCCCCTTTTCCTGAGCTTTCGAATGGTATATAGGTTGCTGGGCGAAAACACTTAGCAGTTTTCAAAAATGGGGTGGGGATATCTACTATTAGCTTGTTCCACCCACTCAGACGATCGCCGGGGGTAGGCGGGCACCGGAAAAATAGATTGCTGATCTCTCGCACCCCGCTCGCGGATTTTTTGGAAAGCAATCAAGACTTTCCGCAGGACCGCTTGATGATTCAGCGGATTTTTGAGAGATCGCCTGTTGAATTTTTTTGCGCTCTTATCTTTTGCAGATATATTGCTGAATCTCCGATTAATCGAGAACTCAGCAAGCAACTTTCCGAAAAGTCCTGATTGCTTTCCAAAAAATCCGCGAGCGGGGTGCGAGAGATCAGCAATCTATTTTTCCTGTGCCCGCCTGCCCCCGGCGATTGTCTGAGCAGCTCCACAAATGTATTGGCTTTCATCGGTCATCGGAGCAAGTGCTTTTTAGAGCCGGGAAGCAAAAAAGCCTTAACATGCTTTATGCCATTCGAAAGCTGAGATCATGGGAAATCGACGTAGACCGTCTCTTTTTTCATAGCTTTTCAAAGCGAGATACGAGCAATTTTCGCCTACTCACCAGCTAATTTTGTGTAATTATTTTGTGCTTCATTTTTGAAAGAACAGACAAGGATAGAAAAAAAGAGACGGTTTGCGTTTACAGGCAAGGTTTTGCTCTGTGATACTGTTAGACAATCCGGCACCTTTATTCATTCTTCACGCAGGAATTTCTTGACAAAAACACACATGTTTTTAGCTAAAATGCCATGTATCTTCAGGTAGAGGGGAGCTAGAGAAAAAGAGACGGTTTATGTCGAATTCCTTTTTCATGGGCTTTCTAATGGTATATAGGTTGTTGAGTGAAAAAACTTGAGGCTTTTCAAAAATGAGGTGGAGATATTCATACTAACTTGCTCCACCCCGCTCCGGCTTTCTATGGGTCGCCGGAGCAAGACTTTTTTTTTTGAACTGAGAAAGCTTTGTGCACCAACAATCTGTATACCAGTCGATAGCTAAGAACACGAGAAATCGACACGGACCATCTTTTTTCGTAGCTTTTCTGTGAAGCAAGAGACGAGCAGTTTTATCCAGCTACAATATCAGCCAATTCTGGGTAATTATCTTTTCAAATCAAGAAGGTCTTTCTCGAACTTTTATATATGATTCGAAAGCTTGAGACACGAGTAATCTAATTGCTCTTTTATTTGTTATTATTCTCTCTAGTGAAAGGAGATATGGTAAGATTATTGTCAGCAAACATGCATCCATCACTAGCTAGTCCTAATTTTCTACTCTTCCTTAACTCTTTTCTTGAGACAGTCTGTATTCATTGATACAATGTTAATTATTCAAAGAATCAGATATCCTTTCAATTTTTGATTATGTTTCGTTATAAACGCCACTTCGAGTGCGCAGGTCTCAAGCATGCGTTTTTTCCTACAAAACGTTGTTGCTTCGATGCTCTCTTACAGTCTTGATGTCTGAGGGAGAGAGCAGCTGCCGTTTTCTTTCCAAACAAAAAGTGTTTTTGTAACAGCTGTTTGATTCTGCCGTTATGCCTTGATTCTAGTCTCAACCTCGGTGAAAGGGGTCAGCCAGATGCCGGCCCTAAAGTGAAGGGGTCAGAGAAATTTCTCCGCCTATCGCATCTATGGTGGTATCTATTAGGCTTTGGCCATACTTTACCCGTGTCATCCGTGTTACCGTATTACCCATGTTACTCGTGTTACTAGTGTTACTTGTGTTACGGTGCTACCAGTGTTACCACTTTTATTGCTATTGAATAGTGAGATGATCACAATACAGTCTCATTTTAAAACGCAATATGACTGGTGAGTAGACCAGTGATCGTTTTTGCGGGGTCCTGGGCGAAGCCCCGAAAAAAAATTTGGTAGTTCATGCTCCCTGCTTATCTCAACATGTTATGTGCCTCAACAGGCGAACACTGGAGTTCGCGCGTCAAACCGCGTCGTAGCTAATTGCTGCACGCGCGACGTCGCTCAAACGATGCTATTTGCAACATCATACAAGAATAGCTCTCAATCAGTGGCGTACCCAGGATTTCAGCTCGGGGGGGGGGGGGGGCGCGGCAAAAAAATTTTTCAAATGAAGGTGCGTGGCTAACGCCACGCACCTCGAAAAAATTTTAGGGGGCTTCTCAACAATTTTGCGTGCCCCCACCCCCGAAAAAAATTTTTTATAGGGCTATTTTGAATTTTTAAGAAATTTTAAAAATTATTTTAATTGTTTACAAAAATAAACAAGTCATTTGCACATCTTTATAACTCATGTAAGTAACTTTCAAAAATTTCGGGACCCGTTCTCGGGGGGGGGGGCGCCGGCCCCTCGGTACGCCACTGCTCTCAATGCATGCATAACTATATGGCACGAAATTTCGTAAGCGAACGAAGAGAGGCTAGTGGAAACAAAGTATGAAAAATTATAAAAATCTTATGTGATTGGAAGGTGTAATAAGCATTTTTTCCAAAAATTTTGCATAACTGGTAAGTAAAGAGTGAATTCAAATGACTCGTCTGCAACGCACAGATGACGATACGGTATGAAACTTGGTATGTACATGCACACGGGCCTGCAGGGTAAATAAGAAGTTTCAATGAAAAATTTTGTGACTGAAGTTGTGGCAAACATTTTTCTGAAAATTTTCCGCTACCAAAAAATGGAAAAATGGCTCGTTTGCAACGCAGAGGTGAAGAAATCGCGCGGGATTTGGTGTGCATATGCGCAGCAGGACTAAGGAACAAAGTATGAAAAATTATGAAAAACTTATGTGAATGGCGTGTTCAACTTTTTTCTAAATTAGGTTGTCTTTGACAACCTAAAGACAACCTGAGGTTGACAAAACTTTCAATACATAATTTTTTCAAATTTCTTACATACATTTGCTCTATACCTGAAGTTTACTTTATGATAATCATCATAATCATCATTAGCGAAAGCAGTTTTGAGATCAGCATTCGAAGAGCTGTCTATCCATACGCATCACTTTCCATATGGCCGCTTCGATCAAAGTGTCTTCCTTGTCAGACCATCAGGTGAAATTGGAGAACGCTTAAAATTTCAAAATCTTGTTTACTCTTGACTAACTCGCAAAATCTGGTTCAAAGGGAGAGAGAAATAGTGAAAGTTAGAATTATGTCCAATCTCTGCTCACGGAAAATTTTCGCGAAAAGCAGCCTACATCTAAAGGCATGATTGCATCACAACAATTTGAAAGTTTTCGCAAAACCGCATTATCATTTAAGCAGTATAGTAAATTAAGCCCAACACTTCTCAGATATCAAACATCGAGTTTTGTAGGATTATGGTGGCCTTTGGTGATTTTCGAGCTCGTCAGTCGATATCAGCAATTTAAAGTTTGTAAGAGCGTTCTTCACCTTACTTATCAAGAAAGCTCAGAAGTTTCCAAGACTTTTGCATGTGGCATGTATAGAAATTCGCAAGCTCAAACCAGCCGTTCGTCGAAGCAGATTGATTAAATGCTTTTGAGAGGGAATAAATTCAGGTCATGTTTATCCCTCGAAGAATCTTTCAGAGTCGAGGATTGCAAGAAAGGCAGTGGCGGCTGAAAAAAGCAAGTGGGTTTATACTAGTGTCCAGTCCAGTCTGAGGGCTTTTTTGAAAATTTTCCTTTTTTACCGTTTCAAATCAAAGGGATTGGAGGCTGTTGGGGGAGTTAATGGTATGCTTGCATATATAAAACGCAGCAAAATTTATAATAGATTCCTCGAAAAGGCAAATCATGGCGATATTGAGAGTGGATTACAATAGTGCTTAGCACTCACTGTAGTGCTTCTCAAAGCTTACGCCTTCTACAAAGTAAATGTGAAGTAAACGATGATTCAGTAGTCTTTTTATCAAACAGCTGTTCTCCAGTTTTCAAAGGCTTGCCTGACTAACTAAGGAACACTGATGCTATCTCAAAGTTTGGTCCATTTTGCGCCATACTGTGACTAAGCAGGTCGTAGTGTCTTGAGTGCTGGAGAATTTTTCTGTAATCTTACTGAAGACCAAGCTTAGCAAGCCGTAAAGCTTCTTGTACCGGATTTGACGCTTCATTGATTCAAAAACCTTCAATAGAGTCGTCGAAAAAAAAACCTGTCATGATATGGCATTGTGACAGCGGTTCCTCAGCCTTAAACGAGGTCAAAAAAGTGTGAGACTTATAAGAATAGTGCCAAGACAAGAGCAATGAATCATTAACCAATATAAAACCCCCTCAAATTAGAATCTAGTATATTCATTAGATGTTTTCGTTCGTGTCCGTTGTTCTCCTTGTGGCTATCATTGCCCGCACGCAAGCGCTCGAATGTTACCAAGGTGAGTCTGTTGTATCAGATCGTAAGCCCACTTGAACAAACAAGCTTGCAGGCCGTGTCCTTAATTCTTAAGATTTTTGCGATTTTAAAGAAATGAAGACCCTGTATGGCCATATCTTGGTATAAGCTCGCACCATATTCCTTGGAGGCAGTGCCCCGACAAATTTTGCACTTCCACATTTCTGCATGTTTCAAGGCTTTTTGACATGCAGAGTCTATATTTGAGTTTTAAACCGGGTGAAAAGACGGTTTTGGAACGTTTACCCGCTTTCTAAAAGCCAGGTCACACGAGAGTTTCAATGAAAGTTGGGAGACTCTGGCGCGAAGATTCTCTTGCTTTGGATAGCATGCACATACGGGAGAAGTCATAGGGGCCCGCATCGAGTTGCACGTCACCAGACGCGCCTTCAAACGCTGATTCCAGATCTGCTTTTCTTTTCAACGGAGCAACTCTCCGAAAGAAAGCTTAAGCTTTCGGAAGTCTAAAATTGTCAAGTCTTAAGTGGGGTAAAAGTAGCGAAAACCTGTCCAAAAACCCTGCAAGTGGGTAATCATTTTTATATCACATATACTGACTACAAGGAAGGATCACAGTCAGTAAAAATCCGCATAGATGTTTTTGTACACATTGATTTTACGGCACTTGAGGTTTGAGAAATTTGCGTGAAATGATCTTAACTTTTCAAAAAGTTGTTCGCAGAATAAGAAGGCAGATTTCGAGTCAGCATTTATGGACGCGCCTGATGATAGACAATTCTTTTTAATTTATCAGATCTTGTTGTACTTTTCCTTTGCAAGTGACGCTTTCCTCTGCTTGAAGACCCAAACAAATCGGACATGGCAGATTTTCCGTAATCCAGAACTTTGGTGAGGCACTGCCCTTGAACGTCGACAGAATTATAAGGGTAGAAGGAAAAGGATGTCGTTTTTTATGCCAGAGCAACAGAACGAACACTTATGAATCTGTGACAAGCGCTATTCGATAGGGCAAGGCAAGCTTTGAATAACAACCTTTGAGCATCTTCGTGCGGCGTGATCTAACAGGGTTTGGATTTAATCCACTAAGATATTCATAACGTTGCAAATCAATCTTCGCTTTTTATTTTACAAGCTTCTACTTGCTATTGCAAGTAGTTGACGTACGCTCTTATCTCACTGGCAATACTCATGATAGGAAAATGAAATGCGGAAGAATTCCACGTTTATCAGTACTGGGTTCCTCCCATATATGCAATTGTGTACCCTCACAACTTGGCTTTCAAATGCTTCATTTCCTAGGAGATATCAATTTTGAACCAGAAACCCTAAAAAAGGGGACATTCTCCTTTTTCTGACATAGTATTGTACTAGGTTATTCAAAATTTTGCTAAGAATTCTTTTGCCTTGCTTCATGTATCATTTTGTAGAGCCAGCTTAAACTTAGATTTGCAGCAGAAAGCGGCTTATCGATCGCTGTTCATTATTGTAGAATCACGGAAAGAACTAAAGGCATAAAGCGTCACTGTGCAAAAGCTGCCGGTTTGCAAAATTTCACGAAAAAAAAACTGAAAGGTTTCAAGGGGTTTTATCGGCGCTGAGTTTGATACTCAACTTTGTACAGGATTGTGAAACTTTTTCTAGACAGTTCAAACACATCGAAAAAACGGCTCTTACTGCTTACCTGGCATAAATTCTTAACGGAACCAGCAACTTAGACTACTGCAAGAAATTCAGGTGGTTTTCTTCTTTTTCAGAGGCAAGATATGGCCCTCCAAGGCCCAAACGCTCTTCAAAGTTCTCTCCGTAATCATGCAGTGATGAAATGCGATCGGTAGACCCTTTCACGTGCAAATCCAAGCTAAAGACAGCTTTGCAAAGTAGTATCTGGAGGTAGGCAAAAGACTTCTGTGGAAAAGAGATAAAAGCGATTAAACGAGAACATACTTTTGGAATATCCCGTATTATGTCTCTCATTCTTCCTCCACTTGCAAATTACAGGAACTGCATCCGATCATCACTCAGTGACAAGTCGGCTGTGCCCACTCTCAGCGAAATATTGTCATTCGTATGATTCACCAAATCACATGAAGTACCCGTGATTAACGTTGCAGATTCAGAATCACTTCAAACTGGGCCCCAAGCAGATACGGCGAGTACGGCTGTGGCTTCGGTTTATGCAAGGTAAGCATTACATTGTTTGAAAGTGTGATTTCGGTCACTTCCTTCCTTGACGTCCAAGAACTTCATTCGCTATTATTATTCCTATTCGTAGGGTTGCTCGATAGAAAAGAGAGACCCAGCTCATACTTAAAACTTTTTTTAGGAAAAAGGTTGCAGAACAATTGCTTACAATACTCGCACGATATGCTGCTGTGCTTCTGATCGCTGCAATAAAGGCTAAACAAAAGAGATATCTACAATAAGCTGTACCAGTATTTGGGCTATTATTTTCTATTTTTTTTCTATAAATTTCTTTGCAATGTATTTTTCAAGAACAGACTAATCAATCTATTCAAATCTGGGTAATCGCAAGTTTTTTAGAAGCATTTCACAAGTGTACACTTAGAAATGACAAGCTTAGCACTCACACTTACCTGGTGTGCCAAAATGTATCTAGACTTAACCCCTGCGCAAAACAGGAGTATGAGCCATACTAAAAGAAAATTGAACCCAGAGTTTATCTTCTAGTAATGGAGCCAATGTGAGCAACTGCAGAAACAGCAGGCAAGTGCAGGCCTTCTAAGAATTATAACATATCACACATCTATGCAACAAAATCACAGCACTACATCTTCTTAGGGTCCGTATCAATTGATACCCGGACAGCCGCTCGCACCCGCATCGTGTGGTAATTATCGAGGTGCGACGCAGCCCTTACTGTGCTGCGCTACGCGGCAGTCCCTCTCGCCTCTCTAATCCCTCTCTCTCGGTTATAGTCTTTCGCCACCATGCTCTCAGGTGCGAAAAGACCTGGATCATACAATCGCAACGGCCAAAACCATACCTTTGATACATAGAGCCATGTACTCTGGTAACCTTCACTTTGAGCGTCATGATAGAACACAACCTTCACCTGGAGAGAAGTACAGAAGTCATCCGGGCGAAGCCCCGGATATCATGACATGACTAATGACGTAACCATATAGTGATAAATGTGAAGAGACAAATATAGTATGACATCCAAAAGAAGCTCAAAAAATCGAAGGATTGCGTTTTTATGGCCTTTTTGCTGAAAAGAAGGTTTTTATTCAGAAATTCAATAAGAAACTAGGACGGAATTTCTCAATTATCTTCCTCCAGACTGCGATTGAGCGTTACAAGTCCACGAAAGCCGCTAAAGTTCAATAAAAACGAGAAACTGCGCTCAAATTTTGCGCAGAGAGTCGCCATATGAATGCTGGTATATCTCGTTGTGGAGTGATTTTCAAGACGCGCGACGTTGTCAGTGCTCCTGGCCGTCTCACGAGGATCACAACGGTATATAATGTTATAGGGTTTCATTATGACCCCGCGGAGATCAATGACCAGAGCCAAATGCCCCGCCGGCTCTGGTCTGTCTCCGCTGCTCGTCTGCGTCTTCGCGCGTTGCGCACTACCTCGCTACCTGAAACGCGGGGCGCGGGGCATTTGGCTCTGGTACCCTTTTTTCGTCATTCGGAGCCCAATTTCGACAATCTATATATCATACTAAAGCTCTTGATCTCTATTTTTACGCTGATAACGTCGCAAGACTTTTTTATATGATTTAAACGAGAAATCTTGAAAAAACGGCGTTTTCGAAAACCTCTTGTCTTTTCTTCAATGTAACTCTTTTCAATCGGCTTTTTTGTGTATTCGATAGGTCTTGTTTCTGTCTATGATGTAGACAACATCGCCGAGTTTACTTCTTTGCTTATGCCGGTTTTTTTAATGAAAGTTACTAAATAGCGCGTTTTTCTTTACCTTGTTCTCTTTCATTGCTTTCGCAACGAATTTTCTCCAACTTGGACGATACTTGCTCAGAATAATCAGCGGAAGGATCCAGACAACGTCGCAGGATACGAAACGACTATGCGGGGGTGAAAATTCAAAGGACGCATCAAAAATCAGATTGGCGTCGATATGCAGCATATCTTTCCAGACGTGTTTAACATGTTCAATTTAGTTGTTGACAAGTTTTCCTTCTTTCGGTCTTCCATCTACCGCTACAGCTAAACAGCGCTTTTTCTCAATTGGGAAAGAACATTGTTCTTGTTGCCACCCAATTTAACCGGCAATCCTGAAGAGGAAACTTTGCGTAGGAAACCACCAAGTTAATGTTTCAAATTTGGTGATGTGCTAATCTCTGCTTTATATGGATTTTCCAAGTTTCCTGGTTTAATTCATATCTCCAACTTTTCATCTATTTTTCTGAAAAAAACCTTCACTTTTTATAGGGGGCAGGAACTCAAACAACTATCACTTTCTAGGCTCTGTCTCTTGACTATCGAAGGTATGGCCAAAACTTCTATTGAATGGAGATTTTGATAAAATGATTTCAACGAATGTTTAGAAATACTTGAACGATTGGACCAACCGACTTAGCGTTTTCAAATTATTCGATCAAATGTTCATTGACACCTTAGAAAAGATATTTTTAAGAAAGAAAATATTTGAAGTTGGTCGAATATTCATTCGAATGAAGTGATCGAAGTGATCGCGAATGTAGTGTTAGAGTGAGCGAAATCGTTTCGGACGCTCACGGCGCAGGCGCGGGGTTTTCGGGTACGAATTTCTCAGTCGTAAATGAACAATTTGCACTGCCCCTTGGGCAGTGCCTTAGTTAGGACCAAAGGTGCGATAGGGGGAGCCGGGCTCTCTCCAGGTGAAGGGGGTCTCGGCTGTTTCCGACCTTCCAGGTGAAGGGGGTATGTGAGCCTGGGGGGGGGGGGAGGAAGAGAGAAAAGGTAAAAAAAGCTTGATATGAAGAGCTCTAATTTGTACCTTATTTGAGCACAAATTGGAAAAAAAATTTTTAAAGAATTTAGAATTTTTTGAAAAAATTGACTTTATGAAGATCTGTGCTCTTGTTCCATTGCATCAACAAAAAACGAAAGCAATAAGGTTTATCCCAAAAGATGTACGAGTTAGAAACAACTTCAATTCCTGCACATCATCATCAACAATATCACTATCGCTAACGTCAGAGACAACAAGTTCGCTGCCTGAAAAATCTTCTTCTTCCTCCAAAAGGTCATCGGAGTAGAAGTAGAATTGCGTGAAAAAGCGTTCTAAGTCGAAAATGGATTTGAAACTTTCTTCTTCTCTAAGCGCTTTTGTAATTTTTTTCGCCCTCTGGTAGCACCAGGAAAGTCAGCAGGTAGGTGACCAGTTTCTTCATACCGTCTTCTAGGATATTTCAAGAAGTCATACGGTGATGACATGTCTGTACCACTTATATCAATCCTTTGAACGAAGTTTTTAGATAACAATATGTTTAGTAGTAGGTTGACAAACCTTAAGTAATTGCTTAGATGCTCCACCGTTGTGCGACTTCTGCGTTGTGTTCTGATAACAGAGTAGATAGAAAATCCTCTCTCCAACTCTGCCGTGCTAGTCGGAATGGAAACTAGCTTTGCTAGTAAGTCCAGCAGATTTTTGGGATAAGTAATGGGGAAAGAGCCAGATCGCATATGCTTTCGCAACACAGGAAGGAAATATTGCATACTTTTTTGGGCCTTGTCGAACTTTGGCTTCACCTCCTCTGGCATACGTCCTGTTAGCTGATGAGAAAGCTGCTCAACTTCTTCTTTAACAGCATCAGCGGAATAGCCGAAAAAAGTAAATACTATGCTGCGCGTTGGTGTTTTTTCGATATCATAGGTCATAATGTCATAAAGCGAATAACTTCCAAAAGCATAAAGCACAGAGTTGGGTTCGCACTCAAGTCGGGATCTAAGAGCAGTAGCTATGCTTTGTACTAACACCTTCCTTTTGTTCATGTCCATGTTAGTGAATTTAGCAGCCTTGACATTTCCTCATTGAAACTAGGCAATGCTTGGATTCCTTATGTAGGAAATCAGAGAGTTTCGCTCAATTGTCAATCTGTATCAATGTCGACAACATTTTCGTCGGCGTAAAATTCTCCTTTTGCCTTGCTGTTGAACTGGAACACATGCGAGTGATCTGCGATTTTGTAAAGTATTCTGCCTGCCGTTTCCTCCTCAAACTGCCAACCTTTCCAAAACACTGAGGGATATTTTAATAACATGTTATTCTTCTGAATGTCTTGAAGCTTTTGATTCATTGAAACCAACCATTCTCTACAAATTAGGTAAGGTGAGTCTAGAGCGTTTTCACGAAAGTGACCTTCTTCAGCACTAGGTTTACAGAGTTAGATTCCAGAAATGGGCGGGATTTTGTGTGAAAGTGTGGAAATTCACCAATCTCCCATAGTTTTTTGAGTGTGTGCTAATAATGATGGCATAGCTGTCAATCAAAAGCGCATTTTTTACCAAAAAAACATAAACATATAAAACAATAAGCACGCTTAAATAGACGCGTTCGCTCACGTTCCCGTTAGTGCTGATAACGATGTCAATCCACATCACATTTTTTACTACTTGCTCCACCTCGCTCTTATTAGGTCGTCCCGAAAGTTTCTGCGCACGATTTTCAAAAATTCATAACTTCTGATTTTCCCAACCGATTTGACTGCTTTCACTTTCATATGAAAGGGTAAGTCATGGTCTTTATAAAGACATCTCAGCCGCTTAGTAATGGTCATCTGTTGCATAGATAGGAGCGATAGAAGAAAAATGGTCAAAATTTGAATTTTCTGTGCAGGGTCATAAAAAATCGGAGACTTGCAACAAAAATCGGAGCAGTCAGTATTGTAGGTTCTTTCACCAGCTCTTTCTAACAGTGCAGAGTTTGCGTTGATTGAGCGTCCTATGAAAAGTTATGACTTCTCTGAAAAATGCTAAAATAAATCAAATTCGCCCTTTTGTATTGCTTGCTCGAAAATCATAACTTTCACAGAGGCGCTCAATCGGCGCAGACTTTGCACTGTTAGAAAGAGCTGGTGAAAGAACCTACAATACTGACTGCTCCGATTTTTGTTGCAAGTCTCCGATTTTTCATGACCCTACACAGAAAATTCAAATTTTGACCAATTTTCTTCTATCGCTCCTATCTATGCAACAGATGACCATTACTAAGTGAGATGTCATTATAAAGAGCATGACTTACCCTTTCACATAAAAGTGAAAGCAGTCAAATCGGTTGGAAAAATCAGAAGTTATGAATTTTTGAAAATCGTGCGCAAAAACTTTCGGGACGACCTATACAATGTGTTGGCTTTTATGGGTCACCGGAGCAAAAGATTTTTAGAACCGGGAAGCAAAAAAAGCCCTAACATGCTTTAAACCATTCGAAAGCTGAGATCATGGAGAATCGACGCCCTAATTATTAGGTTGCCCCAAAACTTCTGTCG